CACCTTTCGCGGTCAAGACCGTGCAGGCCACCTGACCGGTCGACTCGTGTCCCGCGAGTTTTCTGCTGTACGGAAGCAAATGAACCGCCTTTCGGCTTCGGAACTTCTTGAGGCATTGCCGGGAATCAATAACCTGGCGCCTCGGAATCAGCGGCGGGCGCAGGTTGGGATATGATTCTTGTTCTCAGAGGCGATCGATCCTTTGATTGTGCTCGTAGGCGGAGAGGTCGAGTCACTGAAGGCCCAAGATGGGGTGGAAAGACGGGCTGCGAGCGAATCGAAGACGAGGGCGGGGACGGATTTTCGCACCTCTCGCCCCTTGCTCAGGCCGGTCGCCCGGTGAAGTCGCGTGGCACGAATGGAATAGTCAAGCTGTCTCATTCTCTGCACAATGGCGGGTGCCCCGCATAAGGCCCGCCACATTCCTTAGCACTTGTATGCGGCCGTCTACGGGAACCACTACCGTACCGCGAACAGCCAGCATGTCCCATAACCGTACCGTGAATAGCAATGGCATATCACTCTTCCCATACCTTGTACAAGTGGAAGTTGAGCGAGCCCGCGGCGAATGTGGCCACGCGCTTCTCGCCGTTGGGCTTGCTGTTGAGTAACGCGCGGACGATTTACAATCCCCGATAGGGTAGGGGGTACAGGGGTATCAGAAATGGGAGGGCTGGTGTTGACAAGAGTGAACCGCAGGTCGGAGGTGGGGATGGAGGGAAGGGACGTCAATGCAATGCATATGTGAAACAGCAATCGACGTCTTAAAGGAAGAGTCGTCCAGAGGTGCAGGAGAAATAACGCCTCACATACCTGGCTGGTAATGGAAACCCTGCCCCGGTAAAAAGCCATGGCACACGCCAGCCACCATCCCGACAGCAAAAACAACACACAGCAGCAGTAGCAGCGCCAACACAAACAGCACCAACAAACGAACACAACAACAACAACAACAACAACGCCACCAACAACGACGAGTCACCATCCCGACAGCAAACATAACAACTCCATCACACAACAGCAACAGCAACAGCACCAACAACACCAACGAAAACAACACCAAACAACAACAACAGCAACAACAACAAAACACCGCCAACAAGAGACAAGGAAACAACAACGATGACTACAAACGAGGTCAAAACAGATTTCCATGTGCCTCTGACACCAGCAGCAACAGACCATAACGCATCTACATGCCGCACCCGAAGATGTGCTCGGTGTGGGTCCAGCCCTGCGGAGACGGGTCCATCTTCTCCATAGTCACCATGGTCACGGACCTCCCTAGCTGCTGAAGCAGCGACACAAGCTGGCACTCGTAGCTGTACTTGGCCTTGGTGGGATCCCCATCCGGCTGTGAGAAGGAAGGCGGTGTGCAAGGCGGGCAGGGGTCGGGGGGGGGGTATAGTACCCATTCGATGCTGCCTACGCCAACTAATGGTTTGAGACGGAAACACAGTTGTTCTTTCCTCCTGGTATGGCGAGACCCTGCCAACATCCGGGCGCTCTGCTTCGTACACAGCGTTGGTACCATTACATCCTCTCGGGACATCCGTTTCTCGCAAAAACGCCACGACCCTTCACTGCTTGGTATTTCGTGTGTGTTCCATCCGACGTACTTATTCTGGACGCCACTCTACAGCTTTCGGCGCCATGTTTGGCGCACCAGCGGGAGTCAGCCACACAAAGAGGAAGAGATTACTATAGGGGTTGACAAAATGGGGTATATATACCCCGCGTGTTGACGCACAAAATGGGGTATACTTTTTTTCGGTGTGGCGCGCAAAGCCTGACGCCGGATAGGCGCCTTTGAACCGCCTTAAAGCGCTTCAGGCCCATGCGTCAGGTCCTTACGAAGAACGCCCAACTTTTTTTATTTACCCACAGAAACAGAGTTCACTGGGGCCTGGAAGAGGGGAGATTCTTGGGGACCCCATTTTGTCCACGAAACCACGGGGTACACCCCCCTGACTGCTAAAAGTGTATTGAGTACCTTCATTCTGTTCACAAACATACCCCATAATGTTCAAGGCATATCCCTTTTTTGTTCAGAGGTGACGCTCCTGCGGACTGCCAAAATGGCAACCAACAATCAACCGCGGACCACCATAGGTTAGACGACGGAAGATGTTGGGGTTTGGTGGTCTGCGGTGCAACACGCAGGCTTCGTTGTGGTTTGCGGCGCGGCAAGGAGACACAAGATTCAAAGATATGGTGGTCTGCGGTTGGTTGTTGGTTGCCATTTTGGCAGTGCGTCACCACTGAACAAAAAGGGGTATGCCTTGAACATTATGGGGTATGTTTGAAGGGGTACTAGATAAACTTTAAGCAGACGCAAAAGATTGACTGACGGAGTAAGGGAAATCTGCGTTTTGTGAGGTGCGGCAGAAGTAAACCGTTGGCCAATCAGAAAGCGGGAAGAAGGAGAGCGTGGTTGCTTTCTGTTTTCAGTCACTCGCTTCGCTGTGTTTACCGGGTGCGAGCGAGTGCACCTGTGCGCTGGCCAACGGTGTCTTCTGAGTGCCGTTTCTTTTATATTTCCGACCGACCGATGGCGGACCATGGGGGTCATGAAGCTGCGGACCTTGCCGGGAAAAGACCTGCAGCTGGAAATCGTACGTATCCGGAGGAGGATGCGGCGGGCGGCGATGGCGGCGGCAGCAGTGGGGCCGTTGGCGGTGGTAGCGACACCGACACAAAGTCCTTGTTGGGAAGATCGGCGAGAATGGCGCGCGACGCTTGAACAGCAAACTCGCCATTGTGACAAAAGGAGCTGCATACGCAGCCGGGCCCGCGCCGCCAGCATGGCCCGCTCCAGCGGCCGCGAGCGCACCAAAGCTTCCGCATCCCCCGCCACATCCCCGGCCAACCCGAGCTTCAACACGCGGATGACGGCGTCACACGTCAGGTCGTTAAATGGTCCGCCGCCGAGAGCTCACCGGAATTGCCGACCGGAGAGAAGTCCAGCACGTTGAATCCCGTCATGACGCGCAGCTGCTGCAACGTCTTGTCCGTACACGACACTTGCGTCAGTGGGCGAACGCGGTGATGGCGGCGGGTCCTTCCGATGAGTCGTCTCTCCACTGCACCCCGAGTCGGCTCGACAGCTTCGGCCTCCCTCCCGTTCCTCTCTTTGCGGGGGGATCCACGGCTTCTCGGCCTCCGGGAGTCATTTCCTTCGCATGTTCGCGCCAAGGAGCAATGGTGGAGCGTCTGGGTAGACGAGTGGGAAACTGCGGCGTACCGAAAAGTAGAACGGGGGTGGAGAGAGTCAAAGCGCCGGTCGACCGGTAAGGTGTGCTTCGCTTCTAGGGACCAAGGCACCTGCAAGTGGGGAGCGGGCTGCAAGTTCCGCCATGTGCGTGGAGGCGATGGTTGCGGCGCGGCCTCGGTCTCGGCGGCTGACGGCGGTGGTCAATCGTCGGCGATGGTCGTGCGCCGGGGCGCCAGCAGCAACTGAGGACACGGTCTCTGCCTTTCGGCGGGGTCAACTCCGGAGAAGCGTGGCGCTGAGGGAAGAGACAGCTACATAGGCTTGGGGTCGCTGCGTTCGCGTCGGCGGGCGTGGGCGGTGACCGAGCGGCGTGTGTGCCCGGAGCTGTCTCTTCCTTAATCCCAGGTGATGATTCGACTCGGATGATTGCACGTTCATGTGAACTTCGAGTGTGGCCATCATGTGTGTCTGCATTTGGCAGCGACGCGTTCACCCTCCGATAAGGGTGTGAGTCTTCGCGAGGTGGCCTCGGCTGGTTCCGCTTGCTCAGAAAGTGTGGGAGGCGAAATGAAGTGTCCGTGGCGGCCGGTGGTGCCGGCCTCTTTTTCGCCCCATGTCGACGTTGAGTGTGTTAGCGAATTCTTCAGCAACACGAAACGTTTCCCGCAAATCGATCGACTGCTCCGTGTGTTGTGCCCTCTGGTGCACCAGCTGATGTTGTGGCGGATGGGCCCTTGGACGAGAGAGTTGAAATATGGCAATCACTCGAGCACACATACTCCTACACACTACGCAGATCACAGACAAGGTTGTTTCCGATGTTACGTTGGGGCGTGCCTTGGTGTTAGATGTTCATTTCATCCGTGCAAGTTTGGGGCTGCGTGCTTCTCCTCTTGGGGTAGTGGACGAACCTAAATATCGTATCGTTCATGATCTGACCTTTGCGGCTGCTAAGGTACGTTCCAGCGTCAATGCGGATACTGACTTTTGGTCGTGCCCCGGAGTGTCTATCGGGGCACGTGCTTCTTAATGTCTTGTCACGCATTCGGTTCTTGAGGCAATTGGATGGGCGGGCCTGATCTCGAAATTCTGCTTTGCCGGGTCGATGTACGCGAGGCTTTCCGTCAAGTGCTATTTAGTTCATCCTTCGCGAGCGTCCGTGTTTGGTTACACGATGGGAGACCTTGTCGTGGCCGACCGTCGCTGTCAGTTTGGTTGGCGATCGGGCCCCGGTTTTTGCTCGCTGTTTAGTTCTGCTCTTGAACATGCACACACATCACTACTGTGACTCACGGCCTTGAACCAGCCCCGCTCGTTGTTGAAGTAGATGACCGTGCAGTCCTTGATCTCATCCCACTTGTCCACGAAATCCCCCTGCATCATCATCGTTGTGGTTGTGGTTGTTATTGTTGTTATTGGTACGATTTTGGCACTGCTGGCTTCCATTACAAAACGTCCTACCCTCTATCCAACAAATACCGCCTGCGTAACGCGACTGTCCAATGCTTCGAAGAAGCCGCTGGCCGAGTTCAATTTGCCTCCAACGCTCGGGGCCCTACGAAATGGATGTTCACCTCTATCAGCCTGACTTGTGCGAGCGCACTGACGTCCAGCGCTGTGCCAGCTGTCTCACGCTTGACCATGTTGTAGAGGCGGACTGCGGCTTGGTGACGATCCCTGACCACCTCCACCCCCTGCACAGACCAAACAAAAAAAGAACCAACGACAGCAGAGGGAACATGCACCTTGCCGTTCAGTTTACGTGGGTACGTTGTGCAGTGGTTTGCCACCACGTTGAAGCTTTCAAGACAGCCATAAGGTCAACAATGTTACAGGGTCATGTGTGTGTGTGTGTGCTTCTTGAATTAGCACCAACCGCGCTACTATCCAGCTGACCAATGACAAGAGGTCAGTGGGATAAAAAAACGCGCGACAACACCGTCCAACCAGAGAGCTCTACCGAAAGGGGCGGGGGGGTAGGAGGAGTTGGACGGCAGCGTCTTGCATCTAAAGTTCAAGACGAGAACACTCCATACTACCAAGCAGCATTGCTGTTGCTGTGTCTCGTCCATGCTGGCACCAGTCCACACCTTTCGGAAAATACTTGATGTATCAGCCGGGGCCCTACACGAGGAAGAGGGTGACACAGGGAATTTTTTGTATTCATTGTCTTGCCCCACCTCCCCCCTGCGGTGCTTGCCCCCCCTCGGTAACAAATGGGAGAAAATTTTGAACACCCCCTTCTCTCCTACTGGTGTATTGGTACAATCGGACATTTGTTTTGTGTGCCGTGCATGCATAGCACCCCCTTGCCTCTTATTGGTGTGTTGGTATACAATCAAAGATATTGTTGTGTGTGACGTGAATGCATTGGTATGCATAGCGCCTTCCACATTGGCAACCCCGATGCCTGCTCGCAATTTAACCCGTTCTCCACCCACCAGCGACCTGCAGCCCGCCCACGCAGCCGCCTGCGTGACGATCTGCCCGAGGCCGCTACCAATGTCGAGGAAGCAGTCGTGGCTAGTCAAGCCGCATATCCGAAAGATGAAGTCGGCAGCCCCTGCGCAGATCGAGCCGTACCTACACACACCGCCGGGAAGCACACATCCGTTTGCATGACGTGCAATGGAAACCGCAGCGCACGGCCGTCCTGATATTCTGACAGTTCTCGAATATGTTGGAGAAATCCATGAACGATTTTCGGTATTTAGCTGCACGTAGTGGCCACATGGATAGAGTCAAGTTTTCGGTTTCGACTGGCACTACTTTCGACAGTTCGGCGAGTACAGCGCACGTACGGAAAAAGGCACGGGTTGTCAGCAAGAGATGAGGCATTTATTTGTTGCCTGTGTGGACGACACGTGGTTGAAGAGAATCACGACGTAGCATGAGAGGACATAGAAATACTGCCGTTGTCTTGCCTGCCTTGACGGCCGTTGAAATCCTTACAAACAACCATGGTGCACATGCACACCTCACAGAGGCAAAAGCAAAAGCAACAGCAACAACAACAACAACAACAACAACAACAACAACAACAACAACAGCAGCACCAACAACAGCAGCACCACCACCACCACCAACAACAACAACAACAAACAACGACACCGAAAAACATCGACAAGACTCCCCCGTTTTCGCCTCCCTCACATGTGAGTGGAATGTCCCTTGACGGTGACAGAACCC